GGTGTTTTTGCGGGTGTGTGTGTGTGTGTGTGTGTGTGTGTGTGTGTGTGTGTGTGTGTGTGTGTGTGTGTGTGTGTGTGTGTGTGTGTGTGTGCTTGCAGAATTGAAGATCTGACATGGCAGATCAGTCAGGGTGCCCATGCTGACCCCTACCCAATGGAGAAAGCCTTCAACAGTAGGCAGATAAGTATCAAAAATTGAGAATGGAGCAAGGGAAGAGGGCAGCCTGGTCTGAGGAGTCATTCTGCTTCACCATATAGAGAGCACATAACACCAGGACAGACTATCAGTGGTAACAATGTGATGCATAGCCTTTTGCTGGGAAAGTGCACGAAAACTGGACACATACTTACAAATATTTTTACTTCCTTACAGCTCTTTTTTGGTTTTACTTTTTATTAGCACATTTTGAAAAGCACATAACTTGAATAAATACAGACAATGTTTCTCAAATGCTCATGTCATTTATTAAGGTAGGAACGCTACCCAAACCAACCTGGGCTTGTGCAAGAATTTCTTTGCCCCAAGTGTTAACTTACATTCACTGCAATGTATGTGCAATGTTTATGAAAAAGCTTACTTTAATTTTACTAACACTAATTACTGCCAGACCTGCAGACTCAATAAATTGCTTAAACATAACTTGTCCAACAATAGGAAAGCAACACATCACGAGCCAAGCAAGAACAATTATAGAACAGATGAGAAACAAAGTCACTGACAGCCATTAGTCTTGAAAGAGTAGCAGATCGATTGTTAGTGCTTTGGGAATCCAGCAGCTTGCAGTGTAAGCCATTTTACACATAAAGAAAACATGGAACAGTGGTGAACCTTCTCAGGTTCTCATATTACTCCAGCAGTGAAACGACTCATCCAAGAAGTCACAAAAGAACAACATCTAATTCGTTGAATCACTCTGAGCCCTCTGTCCCCATTAGGAAACCTGACAGCGGCTGGTAACATCACGCTGTCAGGATGCTTTTGCTCTGTTTCTCAGAGACATGGAAGCTGATCAGCTAATTACAGGGAGAATACCTACAAGAGATTGGTTTGGAGCTGCAAAAGAGTTGAGAGTGGGACCTTTTAGGTCCTCTCACTTCATATTACACATAGTCTGTCATTTAAAATCACAAAATACAGATTGAACCTTTGTTTGTAAACTGTTAAAGCCAAAAACTGGCACTGTCACTTTTTGCAAGGCACCACTTTGTACTTGTTTAATGGAAATTATAGATAAATGGGCACTCCAATTACATATGACGAGTTGGTGACTTTGTGAAGAGTTTTCTGCTCGTCCCCGGCTTTAAGTTGGAAATATATAATAAAAAGGAAAACTTTAGATCCCAGGCTGTCATGACTATATAGACATGTAATATTTCTAGTGGTCACAATTATGGTGATTTCCTTGTTCGTCGTGTTTTGTTTTGTTTTTTCTTTCCTTCTCTGAGCTGTACTTTTCATGAAGTGCTGCCACCATCTGGTAAATCTTGGAAAGACGCTCTCAAGCCTGGCACACAACCAAAATGTTGTTTGATAAGTCGTTTAAAGCCAACATTTTCTTAAGGGGTAACCTGTGTCCCATAAAAAACAATACTGAAATCAGTTTTAACCCAAAGTGTGCTCACATCTGGGGTAACAGCCCAACCCTGAATTTAACATCTAAAGCACATTCTTTGTACATTTTATTGGATTTGGACTTGAGTTTAAATTATTGATGTCAGAGTGTAAGATTGAAATTATATGGCTCTATCACACTTTTTAATAAAAGTGAGTTATGCACATTTTCGTGAACTTTTGTACTTTCAAATACTCATTGGGCATTCAATTATTTAACACAGAAAGCAGATAAATATTTCTTTAGCTGATGGGTCATTAACAATCACTTTGTCAGAGAACCAGTCAGTAGTAATTTAAGAACTTCATTGACCAGGGAATTATATGCATTACTTATGATATTATGTATAGATGTAATCTGAGAATAGTTAGGAACCACTGAAAACTAAAAAATTGTAACTGTTGAGCTGCAGCAATCATTTGTCTACTGGCTCTGCAGTGTTTTACAGAGGGAAACAGAGTACATTCCAGACAGGTTGACGCTGCATCAAAGGGGAAACCCAGAGACACACAGGACAAACATGCATACACACTCACACCTAATCAAAATTCAGAGAAACCTTGGACATCTGAAGAAAAGCTATATGCACATGGAGAGCATGAATGCTATTCAGAAAGATCGCAGATGTTTAGTCAAACCTGGATTTTTTTATGTTTTTTTTTCTGCAGTCCTGTCCACTACTCCACCATTCAAGCCCATGTGCTGCAGTCACTCCACAAAAACAACATATATAAGCATTTATGGTGTTGTAGTACAATGGTGTTTTTATCTGTCAAAGTGTTAGGGACAGAGAACAAAGGGAAATATAATTCGCTGTGCTAAATTTCTTTTTTTATTATTATTTTTATTCCAAACTATGCTTCTTGCATTAAACAAAAAAAAAAGGAAAATCATACATTAGTTAATAGTATATGATAGAAGTCACTTGATGCATTCAGGTTGTTATGTTTCATTTAATGTCTCCTTCCACTTTGGGCAGAAAAGCCTTAATTTATAATCATACCAAATAAAATACCCAGTTCCTCTGTTTTGAGTTGTCTGAATGCAAAACAAATTTCCTTAATGAGTGTATTTATGGTAGCCTAATGCAGTACAGTATGCATTAGTCGTAATGCAGAATTGTGGACCAGCACTAATATTATCATGATGTTGTGTATTATTATTTTCTATCAACACAACTTTCATGTCATTTTATTCAAAATGTCTCATTTGCCTCTGCTAATAAACACACCTAGCATTTAATTCCAGTCTTGTCAGACTGAATACAGACTGTTGAAGTGAAGACCAATTGTAAAATCCAAATTAATTAGGGTACAAGTACCTTGCTGAGTGCATTTACATAAATGACAGAAAGGTCACAGCTGGAGACCAAAATCATATCAAGCGGATTGATCATGATTGTATCAGTCAAAATTAGAGTAGCCTACTCTGCATTTAAAAGAGTAGAGATGCAAATAATGTCTTTTTGTTTCAGGGCTGCTAAGCTCATTAAAAGTTTAGATTTTAAGAGAATTTGTGTCACACAAATCCAATGAAACCATAAATGCATTAACTAACAGAGCTTGGGAATGTAATGTCAACTGTCCAAATTTATGGCTTTTAAATCCTTACATGGAGAAGACTTATGTTGTTTCAGTGAAGTTTTAAATACTATGTTGGCAACAGCTTTAGCAAGTGAGTGTATATAATATGAAGGTATAAATATTAATTTATGATAATGTGATTTTTATTTGAGTGCAAGAATTAAAAAGGTCAAAAGGAAGGAAAGTTTGAGCTGTTGCTATTTTTTGATGATGAATATTATTTCTGTTATATTTGCCATTATTTTCTGTTATTTTATTCTCTGACATGTTACAGTCTATCCAGTAATGTTGAACTCATTTTATGTGTAATTAAATATTAACTCAAACATTTTAAAAAGGAAACGCGCAATTTTAGCACTGTCATGACTAGTTGTTCTTATTTTAAAATTGTTTCAACTTACCATCTGAATTTTCTTCTTGAATCTACTGTGCTGAAGTGTTAACCGAGTACGTCTCTTCATCTATTCATCCTTGTTATCCTGTTTACTTAAAAAATAATAATATTTTACTCATTTGTTCGTGTTTAGGCAACATTCATCTTTAATATGTCAACATTATATTTCCTTAATTCTTGTTTAAATGTTTCCCTATACGTCCATGCCACACTTACCAATGCCCACCGATTGTAAAGTTTTATTTAACCTCTGAATGTTGTTGCTCGTTGTGATAGCTGTTTTTATAGACTTTCTTTTCCACTTTCTTCAGCAGTATTTGAAACAAGTGACAAGCTTGTAAAAAAACGCTTCCAGTCAGATTTTACTTTTTTTAAAAGTAGATTCTATTTCAGATTTACTAAACACAATTTCCATAATTTTACTTGAACAATCTGGGTCATTCTAGAGTTTTCTTGAAATTTCTACGACCGCCTTAAAAACCACGTCTTCCATTACGACGTAGCGAGTATGACATCAGCGGCGTCATGACGTAAGTGGACAGTGCGTGACACAGCTAAACAGACGAGGAGCTTCACAAACAAGGCAGCGGACGTCAGGAGCTCTGTAACTAAACTACAGACTAAAACACTTTGGGGGGAAAAATATAGAGTTATATTGGCTGGAAGAATACAGTGATTTTCTTTTTACAAAACCAAAGACCGGGAAGAAAACCGCGACTGGTGAGTAAACCTGAAAAAAAGCTGAGGTTAGCTGATCATCTTGCTAGCGTAGCAAAGAAGCCAGGCGTGAGAATACATTCTAACCATAAATATTCAAGATTTATTTTTAGTATTTTGTTATTGACATTTATGGAGAAGCATACTGTGTGGTGTCGGTGTTTCTGTCGAGTTAGCAAGAAATATGTGTTATTGCTCACTTTGAAGAAATTAAGTAGTTGCTTAATTTCTATATATTGTTACTATAATTCATACATGTTACATTGTGAACATGTATTACTTATCGCAAAAATCTCTCTCATTTTGAAGTTCTTGTGTTCTGTTTGTCTAACACAATAGTGGATAACTTGAGCTATTAGTTACGTAATCGATCATCTGTGAGTCTGATCGAAGTTAGCTTAGCCGCTTGCTCATAATTTAGCAAACTCATTGTTGGTCTGCAGACTGATAATCATGTGACTCATGACTATCCTCAAAGCCTCATTGTTATTACAATGGAGACTAGTTCTAAGAACTGCTAGCTTCTCATCTATTTAAGTTTTATTTTTATTTATTTATTTCTGTCTTTCTCAGAATAAAAACCTGTCATTTTCGTCAGAAGACCCATTTAAAAAATGGAGTTTCCAGATTTGGGAGAGCACTGCTCTGAGAAGACCTGCAAGCGTTTAGGTGAGTAAAGTTTCAAATAAAAACAGCATTATCATTTTTTGTTGGTACTGTTGTTTGACTTGAAAGATAATCAACATTAATCAACAATCTGATGTATAATGATGGCGCTTGACACAATGTAATGTTTCAGTTCTTGACTGTATGTTGTGTGACTTTGCGTTTTTGTGTTTTTATGATGTAAAGCACTTTGAAATGCCTTGTTGCTGAATGATGCTATACAAATAAAATGTGATTGATTGATAAGCTTGGTCCCTCATAAAATACTGCTTGTTGATTGCAGATTTTCTTCCAATGAGATGTGATGCCTGTCAGGAGATTTTCTGCAAGGATCACATCACCTATGCAAATCACAAATGCACATCATCCTACAAAAAGGTGAGTTGATAGAACCTAATAAAATATGAACTCATGTTTAGGCCTGATTTTTATCCTCTTCAATAAAAACTTTATTTAAATAATTGACTTGGCGTAATCATCTTTTAATTAATAAATCCAATTACTACAAAATGTTTCTGGACAAACAATTACACCATGGGTTTTACTTTTATTAGATTACTTTTGAATTACATTTATGTCTATTTGATCTTGTCATACGTTGTTCCGTTTACTTTAATGTGACCTAGGTCACACAGTATTGTCTAAATCATGTTCACCTAAGCTTTGTTGTTGTTGTGAAGTTACTAACGTATTCCACACACGTTAAACTGTGACAACAACTAGCCATAAAAACAACTCTTGTGGATTAGTAGCAGTGTTGCTTGGAGAATCAATCAGAATCTGTAGATTTTACAGGCTTTGGTTTTTAAAATGAATTGGTTGAATTGGAATGTTTTTAGTTCTATATTCTTTTAAAAGATATAACATTTTCTAGTTTGCTCCTTCGTTTGCTAAATACTGTTGTGTATTTTCTTGTAGGATGTCCAGGTTCCAGTTTGCCCGCTGTGTAATACTCCCATTCCCATCAAAAGAGGCGAGATGCCCGACATTAAAGTGGGAGAACACATCGACCGGGACTGCAAATCAGACCCTGCACAAAGAAAGAGAAAGGTTTAAGTAATGCAGAATTCCTCCTAACCATGTGGCACAATGTCATCAAAAACAGTGATAACAAGTGTTTTTTTTTTCTTTTTTCAGATCTTCACAAATAAATGTTCTAAAGGTGGCTGTAAACAAAAGGAAATGATACGAGTCACCTGCGACCAGTGTCATTTAAATTATTGTCTCAAACATCGACACCCACTAGACCACGACTGTAAGACTGATGGGAAGTCTCTTTCCAAACCTGGGTGTGTACAGTTGTCCTAAGGATTTTGAAACTGCTTTCCTTTCTTTTTTTTTTCCTGAATTATCACATTGAACTGGTGATTTAAGTTTTTGTTTTTTTTCTCCATAGACATGCTGCTGTAATGAGGTCCCAAGGTGCTTCCTCTTCGTCTGCCTCTGGTTCTCGTTCATCTGCTTCAGGAAACCCTCGGCCTGTTTCTAATGGTGTTACTGTAAACAACAGAGCTTACGGCTCAGGGTGAGTGTTGCTACCCCGCATTTGCTCAGTAATGGACATATTGAATATTTATACTTTTAAAACCAGACTTAATTTAACACATTGTATTCCTGCTTTCCCCCCAGCTCTGCCCCGCGGATTCCTACATCCGTTTCAGCACAGAATGTAATTCCCCCCTCGGCATCCTTTCAGGCCGGCATGGTATGAATACAACTCTGATGAAATCAAGTAACCACCAGTATATTGAAAGTGAACTCAAGCATTCTGCTTGTACCTTGTCACTTCAGACAGAGGAACAAGCTTTACAAAGAGCGCTGGAGATGTCTTTGGCTGATTCGAGGCCAGCTGTTCAAGCAACCCCCAGGTGAGCTACGTTAACAAAGTGCCTCTGATTTTCCCTAACTTCCTCTTCATTTAGCTGCTTATTAAGTAGATCAGTAATGTGTGTGTATATAATATGGATGAAATGGGGACTTGCAGTTGTTTCTCAGTGACAGGGCATGATGGCTGGCATATATGGCAAGCCGTTTCTGCGTTTAATTTTCAGGATTGCTGCTTAGATCCTCATCGTCCCTGTTTAGCTGCGATCTGAACTTTTTCTTTATATGCTGAAAAAGTCTTTTCACAAATGCATGCAGAATCCTTTTATAACTGGGCATTATTTATTTTTTTTAGCTAAAACCCAGATCTTTGGTTAGATGCTGTTTTTACTGTTCAGGTGCTTTACAGTCTCCCAGGTCATTTATGGTTGATTTTTTTTTTTTTTTCTTTTCCCCCTTTGTTCCTGTGAATGATGAGCATATCCAGTAATATTGTTCCGAAGCTTATTAAAACGACTTAAAGGTGTTTTAAGAATCTACATGGATTTATAAACATTCACTTATTCACCTTCCATCTTTTGCTTGGTTCTGATAGTTATTGAGCGACGTTTAATGCTGACAAAAATGGCACTCGGTATTGGTTGGGCCTGTGAGGTGTTACCCTGTCCTGTGTGGTGTGGCCTTTGGACTTTACGGTGTTCTTTGTTTGCTAATGTTCTCTAACAAACCGTTCAAGCCTCCATAGCACAGCTGGTTTTATGTGTAGATACAATTTTACACAGGTGAACTACTATTTATCTTTGTGACTTGTGAAGGCCACTAATTCTCTGGAATTTATACGGAGCATGCCACACTTTTCAGGTTTTATCTGTAAATAAACTTTGAAAACAACGTTTCCTTCCCCTTCCACTTTATGTTTGTTTCTTTGGTTTCGTCTGTTGCATAGAATTGATGATAAAATAAACTGAGTTATTTGAAAGGTGACAATGCAAAACACTGTATGAAGAGATATGAATGATCTTTCAAACTGTTCAAACTTTAAATAGTTTTTCTAACTTAGTTGGTGTCCAGAAACCAACTTGGCTCTGTTTCAGGTCTGAATTAAAGTCATGATGTACTGCATTGCTAATAGTGGATCAGAAACGGCACATTTTTCTTGTAGCGTTCACCAAGTGCAAAGGAGAAAACGAACAACAAGGTTTGTTTTGGGAAGGTTCACCAACAAACAAAGAAACCTGAAAAACAGCCATTGCAGCGCTCCCTGCTTACAGATTTAAACCATCACTAAGGCGTGGCTCTTCAGTGTTTGTCGAACAAAACAGGCTGATGGGATTATTTCAGTAATTTTAATGAGGTTGCGCTTGAATCAAACGCAAGGATCCACCGTTACGCATGTCGTCCGCTCTGTGGGGTTTTTCACTCCGGGATGTTTTCCTCTCAGCCCTCAGGAGCAGGAGGACCTGGCTCTGGCTCAGGCTCTGGCCGCCAGCGAAGAAGAATACAGACGCCAACAACAGAGACAACAGGTACCCGGAATTTAGGCACCAGTAGCATGCTTACGGGAACACATGTAGGTACACGGTTGCCATGGCAACACCCATCCTCTTCTGAACTTTTGTGTTTGCTTTTTGTTCTTAGCAGCAGATGAAAGGCTAATTTACATCAAATTTCTAATAGGTTTTTGGAAATGTGTGGATGAAAGTTCTTTATTTCTAACTGGGCTTTTTTTTTCTTTCTCCTTTCTGTTTAGGGAAGAGAGACCAAACAGTCCACCTGCTGCCTTTCTTAGCCTTGGAGCCCCATTTATGCTTCAAGCTGTGCTAATGGTTTGCTAGATAATGTACTTCTCAGATGTCAGTACCCAGAATGATTGATTGTTCTATGAAGAATTGCTCTTGAAAGTTGCTGCAATCTTGCCACCTTCCACGTATAAGCACATACACTTTTCAGCAGGATCTGTCATTTTTATTGAATTAGTTGCTCTTGTGAATATTTTATATGCTAATCATGATGACTCTATTATAATGCCTCATATAGATGTTGGATAAATTAAAGGTGCACTTAAATTTTAACTTTGTCCTTTGAGTGTGATTTAATGCAAGTCTTGCCGCTGAGGCGGATCAGGAAGTCCATCAGAGGAGTGAGGTGGAATAAATTTACCCAGGCTTTTAGTGGGAAATGCAAGTGTGTGAGGATGTTTTCTGGCACAGCATGTTTGTGTGTGACACATTTGTTGTGTTGACCTGGAATATTCATGATCGCATTTCCTAAATTTATCTGTTTGGGCTTTTTGCTTTCTATCTTTAATTAGAAAATGGTTGATTATGTTTCAAGTCAATTGTAAACAAGATAAAAGCATGGGTAATACAAGAGATAAATGGAACTGGGAATGATTAATTCCACTGTTGATGACAATTAAATCAACAGGTTTTTTTTTGTTTTTTTTGTTAACTGCATTAGAGTTGCACAGAGTGCATCAGTACGAGTGATGTTGAACCTCTGATTTTGCTGTGAAATATAGCATAACAAATCAACTAAATTTAATTGTGATAATCAGGTTTTAACTTCCAATTGTCTTCTGCTTCTCAGACTGAAATGATCAGAATGTCAATTTATTCAAAACATTCGAGAGAAATGTTTCACTGATTCACTCTGCTTTTTAAATCACGATAATGATTCAGCATAGACATTTGGAGAGACAGGGTTTAGCTGAAAAAAGATTAGTCATTGCTGGTAACATCACTGTGGAGAAAGTATTTGCCCCTTTACAAATCTCTTCTGGTTTTGCTTTCTTTACCTTGCTTCATCTCTTCAAATACAGTTTAATACTAGATGACTAAGATCACCTGGGGATATACTAAATAGCAGTCATCTAATAATTTCTTAAGGGAAAAAGACATCACTACCTCATGGCATTTATAAAAATACATCCCTTAAACTAATAGATCATGATTGTGATTAAACTAATTAGCAGTTTTACACATTTTGTTTTTTTAAAAGCTGAGTTCAGTTTCACTCTCCTCGGGTAAGCCTGATTTCTGCCAGATGCGCATAATCAAAAAATGACTTAAGTAGGACCCGCCTTAACTCAAAGTAGTCAAAGATCTTTAAAATCAAACTGAATTAGCTAAATTGACAAATGATCCAAAAAGTCTCAAAACCCAGAAAATCATCTAAAACGTTGCAGACCTCACTTACTTCTAGTAAAATGACATATAGACATAGAAAGTTGTGTGCAAATTCCAGTATGCAAGAGACTAAAATAAAATGTATATATGTTAATAACATAATTACAAAGCAATACATTTTAAGCAAAATAAACTTTTCTGAATACTTGTTTTTCTAATATATAAATGCAGTAGGTATTGTGCCTGGTGTGTTTTTTTTTTTTTTTTTGGTTAAAATATGTTTGTTCATGCAGTGAATTTACTGAAGAAAGAGTAGCGATACTTAATATCACTCAAGTGAGTATAAAGTATGGTGTAGAAAAATTACTTCTGAGAGATTTTTTTTCCCAAAAAAAGTTATTCAAATTAAGCAGAATAAATGTAACTAGTTACTACTCACCTCAGAAGCAGAGAGAAGTATCCCCTCGCCCCCATTGGATTTCTTTATTATTATCGAACCTCACATTACTGCAGTCTTTTAACGAAGGTTTGATGTCATTTCCGTGACCTCCTGGATGAGACGTTGATAAACTCTTGGAGTAATTCTTTTAGGTCAACCTCTCGGGTTCGTGACAGTTTGTTTCCTGTGACTCGCTGCGCTGTTGCAGCTGGCCGGAGAAACCAAAATTCTTACAGATGCCATTTAACCCTTTTCAAAACTGATGAATGGCATTTCTTTTTCACTATAATTTCTTGAATTTCTTTCAATTGTGCATAATATGATTCTTCTTTTCTTTTTTTATTAGATCCTAGAACTTTGGCATTAAAAGGCCTGGGTCTGCCTAGCAATATTAAGCCAAAACAGGACATAATTAGAGTCGAGCCTTGTTTTTTTTTATTGTTAATCCATGAATACTGTTTTTTTGTTTGCTTTTTACCTATCGCTTTTTTCTCCTAAATAATTTCTTGGACGGCTATGTTTTCTTGAGTAAAATATGTTGATGTAGTGCATCACTTGAGCACAATTTCGGGGCGCTCCACCCACTTCTGGTCAGTTTTATGTAGGCAAAATTTATTTACACTATAAACAGCAGGGGGCAGTAAGGCACCAATAATGGTTCCCATTTACTTCCATATCCACATCAGAGTAAATTAGCACTCCGCAAAAATTTCTTCTTACACACATCACTGTAATTAAAATCTCCAATCTTTTTATCCAATATTTTTTGCCCTATCTGCCATTGTGTATGAATATACAAAAATCCGCCTACGTAGTTGTTTAATATGAGTAACCTTTAAAGTAGTTAAAGAGCACAGCTGAAAAATATCGTGGTGACACTTACTGTCCAAATCCATTTGCATAATGGTAATTAAAAGGCACAGTTTGGAGGCAAGCAGCTCTTTAGCCAAGCCCTTTGACCTGGAGCAGCTTGCAAGTGTCACAAAAGTCTAATTACCATCATCTGATGCCATTGATGTGGTTATGTGAGTCATCGTTTTGCAGGTATACTGTAATGAAGTGCAGCGCTGTAGAGTGGATTCATTTTCATGCAAATTGTATTCTTCCGTTTTGCCATCACAGCATGCTTTATTATTGTACTCAGATATGCAGTTATGCACTAGAAAACCTGATCAGTTCCAGCGTCATACTGCATTCATTTACATATTAATGATTGTCTCAAGTAAGCTTTTAAATAAATGCAAATTTAGTTACTTTGTTGTACAATGCTGAGACATATAGTCAGAAGTCAAAGCATTTGGAATTGTTTTACCCTGCTGATCGCATAAATCAGATTTAACGTCCTCTGTGATAAAGCGCACACATTACATGAATTTCAAATTAATAATCAGATGGTTCGATAACACCCACAGACATAAATGTTTTCTGCTGCAGTCTTTGTTTAATCTTTGTGAAATCGGGTTTTTATAATGATAAAATGACACAGAATTTGACTTTCCATGAATGCAAAAAGAAGTTTCTGTTGAGTCTGGAAATATTATGGTATTGGGTAATCAAACTGATAGCAAATGGATCAAACAGAAAGGCATTTTGTTTTAAAGACTCAACAGTATGTGAGAACAGAGCTTTCTTGCAGTTTTCAAATGTGGTTTTTTTCCTATGAAATGTCAGAGTAGAACTCCACAAGAAAGTTCTTGCAGAAGCAAAATTAAACCAAAGTTTTGTCTGCAGTTTTTGCCAAAATAAATTCTCTTTCCCATTGTTCTAAAGGTCACTCCGCGGGTGAAGAAAACATTTAAACTCTTGACAGCTTTTGCGGTGGAAAATTCTCTCCTCTGCTACCTCGATCCTGTCTCCGCAGATTATAGTCGATTTTTAAGTCTAGATGGAGTGTCTGAACACACCTGGTTCCTGTGACACAATACTCTTCATTCAGAGAGCTAAACAACTCCATTGTTGAATGTGAACATGATCTCCGTGGTTGTTGATATCGGGGCAGGGGGTTTTCAAGGCTTTCTGGCTAACAGCTGCAAGCATTTTCTGTGTGGAAAAGTATGCAGCCCTGCTTTCATCTAAAAAAAACGCAGTGGAATATAATACTGAGGCGTTGACATTTGTGCCATTTGTAAAGGTCACCGATGAACAAAATGTGGAGATTCAAAGAAATAGTGTGACACACTAATGCACAAGTTCAACATAAAAGAGTTGCAAAATAACATAAAGCACACACATGTCCTGAGTTTCAATAAACAAATGTGCTGTCCTCTCGCACCGAGAAATACAACAAAGAGACGAGATGCACCGAAAAAGTGCAAAAACATATTTTGCTAGTGTTGACACCGACATGTAGTTCTGCATGCCAACAAAAGTGTCGTTTTATTTTATGTAAGACTTACCCCATTTCATTTGAGAACGTTATTTCGCTTCGGTTAGTTTTATTTATTTATTTTTTTTCATTTTTTACAAACAACAAAATGAATATTATTTTAACAGGACTAAACACATTCTATTGGATAGATCTGAGAGTAAAATACATTGCTATTCAGATCTACCCCATGTATTTAAAAGTCACATAAAAGAAAACATTTAGGCTCAGGTGCTCAAGGAGAATTGATCAAAATGTGTAGACAAGAGTGAACGCATCAGTTGCTTTTTATATGTAAAGTGCCGTATAAGTCAGATGTCATGAATTGCTTAGAGAGGTTTCAGCATGCAGCCATGTATGTAACTGCTCTCTTAAGTTGTCGTTTACATGCCTAAGACCCCTTCTAAGATCTGAATATGTGAACTGTTGTGAATCCTTTTAAGAGCCCACGACTGGACTTCTTTGGGGTCACTCAGAGTTGAGGGAGCCAGTATACTGCTCTGTGCTTCAGCATTAATAAGTGGCTATCCCACTCTAATAGCAGTCCTCGGTTCAGGTCAAGCCTTGAGCATTACGGTCATGCAGAAGGCAGGCTAAGAGCCTCAAAGTCATTTTCAATCTTCAGCTTTCACAAGGAAATCATAAGGCTTATTGGATTTGTCTTTCATTATGTTGGCATACTCCTTGCAGAGACATGAGTTCACTGAGAGTCATGTGATCCAATCCAACATCTACAGGACAAATTCTGATAAAATGTGAAGGCTGCTGTGCAAACTGAACTCCGAATATAAATTATTTTGTTTTGGTGGTGAATAATAAGTTTCTTTAGTTTTTTTTTTTTTTTTAAAGTTGAGAAAATTAGACATACAAAAACTGGAAATTTGAACAAATTCTACACTAAATGGCAGCCATTTATTAAGTTTGTTGCTTCAATGTAGACACGTCTGCACACCCAGACCTGCTCTTTCTTTTTTATTTCTTTTTGTTGGATGTGTACATATGCATGCATGCATATGTTTGTGAATGTATATGTGTGTAAGTCTATATATGCATGTGTTTCTTCACTATTAATTTTCTTTCACTATGTCTTACTATTATAGGTGTTCTGCATGTGCTCTTTGTTCCTAAAAACGTGCATCT